GTGAGTATCGAACACCAACACACATTAGTGAGCTGTCAGACGGTGAACGGCGCTGAGCTAAAGGGACAGTTCACTAAAGCGAAATCAAATAGGAAAAGTAAGCATGTTGGTGGTTATTATTTGGTTTATTTCTTCTAATAATTGGCTTCACACACACACACACACACACACACACACACACACACACACACACACACACACACACACACACACACACACACACACACACACACACACACACACACCTAAGGGATCAGGTGGGAGGAAATCATCATTACCATTGTCATCATCATCATCATCAACCATCATTATAAGTTAAACCGAGGTGACCAGATCAGAACCAACAGAACTTGAAGGTTCTCTAACAGAACCAGAATCAAGGCAACAGTGTTCTCTTGAAATGTTTAAATTCAGCATTCTGACATTTAAACGTTTTAAACCTGATGCTAATAAATTTGATACCAGAAAATCCCCGACCCACACAGGCTGTATCCATCAGAACCAAACCGTATGTTTATGTTTATGTTTATGTTTATGTTTATGTTTATGTATTTAGCAGACGCTTTTGTCCAAAGCGACTTACAAGTGATAATCGGCATGTTGCCCTTGAGGCTAACAACAACAATAACAACAACAATAACAACAACAACAGTCATGGAGAGGAGGGAACAAGGAGTGGACGGTAGAGAGGGGGGACGGGTGCAGGGAGGGTGCTAGTTAAGAAGATGCTCTCTGAAGAGCAGGGTCTTCAGGAGTTTCTTGAAAATTGAAAAGGAAGCCACAGTTCTGGTAGTGCTTGGAAGGTCATTCCACATTTATGGAACGATGCATGAGAAGAGTCTGGATTGTCCTGAGCGTGGTGTAGGCACTGCTAGCCGACCATCCTGTGATGACCGGAGCGGCCGGGCCGAGACGTAAGCCTTTGCAAGAGGATTCAGGTAGATGGGAGCCGTACCGTCTCGGACTTTGTATGCTAGTGTTAGCGATTTGAATTTGATGTGTGCTGCTAGCGGTAGCCAGTGGAGCTCAATGAACAGAGGGGTGACGTGTGCTCTTTTAGGCTGATTGAAGACCAGACGTGCCGCTGCGTTCTGGACCATTTGAAGAGGTCTCACAGTACAGCCTGGAAGACCAGTTAGAAGGGCGTTGCAGTAATGGAGGCGGGAGATGACAGTAGATTGCACCAGGAGCTGGGTGGCATGTTGTGTTAGGTATGGTCTGATCTTTTGTATGTTATACAGCGCAAAGCGTAGGTCCATGAAGATGCAAACAGAACTCCAACCCAGTCCTGTCTTAGATGTTTCTCTGCAAATGCAGTGTGTAGCTCTCTCTAACCCCATATTCCACGTTTAGCTCCTCTAGGTTCTTGTTCCTGTCTCTCAAGCTGCCAGTTATTATTGGACCTTCATTTTCTCCTCTTAATTACTTTTATGGGTGCAATCAGTGACAATCAGCCCATCCAGTACAAGCACCTGCTTCAGGCTGAAGTCTTCATAATTATTCGTGTTTTCCCCATTTTACAGTTACATCTGCTATCCATGCTCAGACGTAGATCACAGCAGATCCAGTCCACCAGTTTATATGCATCACAACACGATGATCTCCGTGACTAAATGTTACTCTGTTTGTTCCTCACCAATGCCAAAAATTCAACTATAATTTAATCACGTACTAAATATCTGTTCACCTGTTTAAAATGGTCTGATAGAAAGAATAAATCAACACAGTAACTGAACATTTAATCCAAATCCAATTTATTTATACGTAAAGCACTGATCAAACAACCACTTGTATCAACATGCTGTACAATAAAAATACACATAAAAAGGTTAAGAAGCAATACAGTGGCAAGAAGAAAATACAAATCACAATAAAATCAAGCAGTTTCAGTCAAAAGGAATGGAAAATAGGTGAGTCCTCACGCAAGATTTAAACACCGAGAGCAAGTCAGCCTTTTGCATTCAGAGGCAACTCGCTCTCCAGCCTGGGAGTGATGACTGAAAAGCTCTATCTCCTCTATTTTTGTGTCTGGTTGGAGGAACCACAAGCAGCCCCCGCTCAGCCGATCAAAGGGACCGCGAAGGCGCATCAGCGGTTCAGACAGCTGGTGCAGGACGAGAGCTTTTAAACATTTAAAAACAAATAACATTTTAAAATCAATTCTGTGCCTGACCGAGAGCCAATGAGGGGCAGAGAAGACTGGCGAAGAATGGCCATGCTTTGGAGATCCAGTTAAAATACGTGCCGAAGCATTCTGGACCAGCTGCAGGCGGGAAATGGAGGACTGGTTGCTACCTGCATACAGGACACTACAGTAGTCCAGTCCAGTTGTCATTTTTATCTTTGCTAGATTTCTCAAAAAGTTTCCTCCAATGGAAAAAAATCTAGCACTCCTCTCCAGATGTGTTCATCAAAACTAAAGTTTCCATTCATTTTCACACCTAAAATAGAGACAGTAGGCTGAAGACACTGGGTAACGGTCCCAAATCCAGACACTCGCGAGAAGCGCTCCGCACGGCCTAGGGATCATTTGGCTTTCATCTGCGTATGTGTTGCCCCTCGTCGCCAGGGAAAGTACACATCACCATGTTAAGTAGGCCTCCTTGTAAGTAATTATAACCCCTTCCTTCTATTTGTAAAATAAATGCTTCAGTTATTAATTTACCCTTTATTTCATGGTTATGAACTCTTCGTAGACGATTGTCACAAAGCCTCATCAAACCACTTCTGGAGTATCAGGATTAGTACCTTCATCAGAAACCTGCCGTGTCCAGTCCTGCTCCTGTCTACTGCCCTCTGGTGGAAGATCAGCAGATGGCCAGGCCCAATTATTTTATTTATTACTATGTTATTTATCACTGTTATGCCGTTATAGACTTACGTAACTTTAAAAATGATAAGTTATATAATGTTAGAAAATATTCTAGTTTTTACTACTTGATTTATAAAAATGGATTATTATTATTTCAAAAGGTTGGATAAAACGTCCTGTGGTGTTAAACGTTTTATGCTGCTGGACGTCTTCTCTGCTGTCTTGAACGTGAACAGACGTCGCTGAAGTTAGCGTTAAACATTATTCACAACTTATTCCGCACGTCCAGTCTGGTGTGTGTTTTCATGCGGAAGCCCAGCAAACATTCAGACGTTTAATGACGTCAAAGCGATTGGTTGAAAAATAGTTCCAAAATTAAAGTTGAACCGACGTCAATTCAGAATGATGAATGATCAATTTTATTCAGTCATCATCATCAAAAATAATAGTAAGGCACAGGGGCGGATTTAGGACTGAAGAAGATCCGGGGCTTAACACACGCGCGCACACACGCACGCGCATGCACGCACGCACGCGCGCACACGTGACACACACTAGTAAACATCATATATATATACATATCTTGTATCACATAATTTTTAATCTGAAGCTACATATTCAGCATTTTCAGGGCAGAGTATTGTTCCTGTTAGTGTTTAGTGTGAGATGATAGTAAATATTCCCGCTCTTTCTCCAACAACTTTACCTGATAGTAAGCTAACTTTAGGCTAACCAGCAGCACAACAAATGTTTTCAAATAAGACTCACAAACCTGAGTCAGCACCAGTCTCATCAAAGCTGGGGTTCTGTCGCCGTACTTTTGGTCTAAAAAACGTCCTTATGTCCATCTTCACTCATGCGTTTCAGGTTTCAGGCACTGTAGAAGAAGCCGGCTGCTGAAGGACTTCTTCTTCAGTGGTGGAGGCTCAGGCAGGCTGTATACAAACTACTGCCAGCTGCTCCCTCTCTGTTGGACTTTGGTACTGCATGTTACTTCCGCGATTTAGATCCGGGGCTTTTCATGAAACATCCGGGGCTTCAGCCCAAGTAGCCGGGCCTAACGCCGCCCCTGGTAAGGCATGTAGACAGTAACACATCATACATAGAAATCCATATATTTCCATACAGTACCTCCAAAAACATACATATTCATATTTTTGTGTACCTTATTTATTTTAGTATCTACACATTTCCCATACAGTCACATTAACTTTTGAACGTTCCATGACTGAACAGGTTCAGGCAGAAGCGAAAGCTTAAAATTTTGCCTAACTTACTTACTTAGCCAATTTTTTAAATTCTCTCAATGTGACGATAACAAACATGATGAACACAAACACATCCACCAACTTTGAATTAATAGTAATGAAAAATATTTTTACTGATGATTATTTTAAATCAATCTGAAAGTGTAGTTGCTCATTTAAATTCTATTTTAGCCTCATTCCAGAGTTTTACTCCCATTATAGAGATGCATCCCATTTGAATGCTTTTCTTAGTTTTCTGTACAGTGAACACACACACACCTCTTAAATCATTATTACGCTCCCTCTTTGCTAAAAACATTAGTACTTTCTCAGGGACAGACATTAATTGAACTCTAAAGATAATTTGTACAATTTTATAACAGTATAGATCCTCTATACGGAATGAAGATAAGACTGAGATCCTCATCTGTGCCCCAGACAAGCTGGTTCCCAAAGTCAGAGACTCTCTTGGTCAGCTTGCTTCCCACACCAAACCCTCTGTCAGGAATCTTGGCGTGACCTTTGACCCAGCTCTCACCCTGGATTCTCATGTCAGTTCTCTTGTTGGCTCTTCCTTCTTCCATCTCAGGAACGTTGCTAAGCTGAGTCCCATTCTGTCCCGCTCTGAACTTGAGACAGTTCTCCACACCTTCATCTCCTCACGCTTAGACTACTGTAACTCTCTTTTCACGTGTCTGAGTAGAACCTCCCTGAACCGTCTACAGGTGGTTCAGAACGCCTGTGCTCGGCTTCTGACCAAGTCCTCCAAACACACCCACATCACCCCGCTTCTCCTCCAGCTTCACTGGCTGCCAGTCACCTTCAGGGTTCATTTCAAGATCCTGGATCTGGTCTATAGGGCCTTACATGGACAAGCACCATCTTACATTGGTGATCTTCTTAGTCCCTACACCCCCAGCAGGTCCCTGAGGTCCAGTGAT